GGAACTGGAATAAGAGTTAATTTTCACCTTCAAACGCACATTTCAAACATTTTCAGTTCTTTTTATAGTGCATTGTTTCATGGAAACATCACATGTCAGACAAAGCTCTTCAGAGTAGTGGCCCATTCTTCCGATAAAACCCACTAAACTTGAAACCTTTACAAGCCAATTGTAAATAAAGTCTTTGATCTAAGTTTATCCAAAAGCGTTACATTGATGTTGGAATTTGGCATAAGTTAAAAAGGTTTCTTAAAATATTCGTTGGTTTAACGACACTGTACGTATAAAATTGCCAACCTATTTTGCACGTTTGAAGCACTAACGATGCTGGTGAGACGTTCTAGAAACGTCCCCTACAGTACGTTGCCAGCTGTCAAGGTATATTAGGGTTTCTAATGAAGGTTTGCTATAATTTCGGCGAAAATATTATATGGTTTTTCGTAATTGTTTGAGAAAAAATTTTCAATATTATTTTTACGTAATGAATTATCCAAACTACTCTACAAAATAAACGTTTCCCAAATTTGCCAAAAACCCAACTTTGGAACTGGATAAAAACTGTTGCGATCGATTTGACTTCTGTTTGAAGTATTGTCTAGTCCAATCAGTCCGTGTTTTTGCGAAAAATTAGTGTTTCAGATAAAGTTTCTACAGGGTGTCAAATAGAACCATGCAAAATTTCTGAAAGTTTGAAAAATTCAAAAGAAAGGATTTTCGGATTTCAACATCAAACGCATACCTAATATCTCAAAACACTTGTATTTACAAGGTGATGTCAAAAAATCAACTCCTTGGAGTTACAGTGATACATTTTTTCCCTTGGACCGATTTTCAAAACCTACAGCTGATGTTGAACCAAAAATCTTATGTAAGAACATGCAAGTATGATAATAGACTCAAGACAAAAGTTCAATACACAGAATTGCATTAAAAGTGACCCAATCTCTTGAAATTTGATATTACGGCAGACTTTGAATTAAAGTTAAATGTACTTTCATACAATCCCTTAATTCACGGTAGGATGTTTTATACTTGCATGAGTACAGGTTGATTGGTGGAGAAACCAAATTACAACTGCATGTTCCGAAATAGAGGATTGCCCCCCGCTCACCTGAAAATCCCATTAAGCAGGAAACGTGAAAATCCGTATTAATTAATTAATAATCTAAACTTGGTTTCTTTCCTCTAGCGTGAATTAAACATTTTCGACACCACATTCTGGCTCTTTTCGTATTCGACTGAACCTTTGCAACAATATACGCTTGGTTCAATTAAAGTCAAGTACATTTCTGAGCATAATGGTAACGACGATTTAGCAATTCTGAAACAAGAAGGAACAAAGAAATTTTACAATACAAAGAAATCTCAGCTTAATTGGCAAAACTTTTACGTCTGCATATTTTGCAAATTTATATTTCGAAAGTTTTCACTTCAAGATGAGCTTGAGCTCAAGACTTTTAAAGTCAGTACCAGAGGAACAATATTATTACTGCAAGACCAAAAAGTTGCTTTTTTTACATCACCCTGAAAATAAAAGGGATAGGGCAAAAATCTTCTTTGTGATATGAGGTTTAGCTTTATCCCTTTGGTGTTGAAATCCATAAAATATGTTTTTTGCTCAATCGGGAGCATGCCAAACTTTCAGAAATTTGCATTGCTTCATTTGCCACTCTGTAGAAGCTTTATTTAAGGCACTATTTTTTTGCTAAACAGGGACTGACATAAAAAGACTTGGACTTTAGAAGAAGCATTATGATGCTTCAAAAACAAATCAACTCGCTCGCAGCAAGCATAATTTATCCATATCCCAAGTTAGGGCAAATGTGGCAGTGAAACGTTTATTTTGTTAAGCAGTTTAGTAGCTTATTTTTTCGTATTTTACTTAGTTGTATTAAAATCCATCGTTTTCAGTAAGAATAAATTTTTTTGAGGAACTTTGACCATCAATAGTAGAGGAGCCAAACATTTTTGCTTAGTAAAAGTTAGGTCAGATCGACTTCTTTTGATCCAAAGAATATCGCAGCACTCTTTTGTTCATGTGCTTATGGAACACCCTGTATAATTTTTTTTAAATTTTTTTATCTAACTTCGACTACGCTGTATCTCAAAAACCACCCACTTTTTGATTGGACAAATTAGCAAAATTCATCATATTTTAACCTCAGCGTTTTGAACGGACATTTTACCGTATAATTCCAAACGCAAAGAGAACGATATTTTTCATATTTTTAGGCAGATCGATGTAAGAGTAGAGAAATTTTTCCCGGAAACACATTGAAAAATGGTATAGGTATTAGTAGAGGTCCGGGCGATTTCAAAGGAAACTTAGGGCCAACATTGGTAACAATGCAAAACATTAAAAAATTTGCTTTCAAAAAAATCTTCAATTTTTATGTCAAATGGTGTTGAATATTTTAAATTCCAAATCAAAATTCATTCCTGGGTTTCACTCATTTATTGTCTATTTATCAACCAAAATACGTTTCAGTGTATTTTTCCACCATAATCAGTTTTTCTAAAATAAAAGATAGTTTAAAAAAAATTGTATTAATTTAAAAAACAACCACAGTTCGTCAACAGCCTCATCATATCACGCATTAAAATACATCAAAATTGCAATACTTTAAAACATTCTAAAATTAATTAGGCCTAACAGGTGATTAGTCAGGACAATCAAATTTGGGAAGAGACTAGAATTCTTCGTTCAGATACTTAAATATTTTTACTTACATGTGTAGCGTTGTTGCTGCTTTAAGCATTGGCATGAATTTGGAGTATTAATTTTGTCCATTATGGGACACAAAGCGAATAAAATACTGTTTATATTGATTTCTTTTACTTTCAGCTATTTTTCTTTGCATTCTGAGGATATTATTTTTGGTTTGCAAAATTCTTCAATATACCGGGTGTTAGTTAATATTCTATGTTTATTTCATTTAATTAATGTATGATATACTGAGCTAAGACTATCGGTATCCGATCTGAAATTCATAGCATTGTTGTTTTTTAATCTGTATCATTTCATGGACTCTTCTCTTATTATAATTACTCTCGTTAATCAGTATTTGTGTGTTATCAAAATCAAAATTATGCAACCTCTGTTGTGCATGCTGTGCTAATGCTGTACCATTTTCATTATTTTTTCTTAGGCTATACTTATGTTCGTATATTCTTTTCTTTAGATATTGTCCTGTTTGACCTATGTATGTGTTATCACAATTCAAACAGTCTATTTTGTAAATTACATTAGGCGTGTCTAACTTGTCAATCCTAGGTTTAAATTTTGTGAAACATTCATTTGCTAAGGTGTTTTTAGTTCTTTCTGCTATGTTGATATTATGTGGTTTGAATATATTTTTTATTGTTGTGTTAATTTCCGGTATATATGGTAATGATATATACTTGATATCACCTTCTATTCTTTTATTTATGTTTTTCCATTTAGTTCAATTGTATATTTTATTTATCCTTTGCTTTATGATGGGTTCGAAAATTGACCTTGGATAGTTGTTTATTAATAAGATATTTTTTATTTTTTCAAGATTTTTTGTTCTATACTCCCAATGTGACAATTTAATGGCTCTATCTGTAAGCGCCGTTATTACACTTTTTTTATATTTCATTGGAGCGTACGATTGATAATTCAGATACCTACCATACGATACCTCCTTTGTGTACCAATTTGTTTTGATTTAACCGTCGTTATCCTAATTAATTGTTAGGTCTAGAAAGTTTATAGAATAATAATTTTGATTTTGATAACACACAAATACTGATTAACGAGAGT